AATTGGTGCATGCAGGGCGCCTGGGTGGCTCAGTCGTTAAGCGTCTGCCTTCAGCTCAGGTCATGATCCCAGTCCTGGGATTGAGCCCTGAGTCGGGCTCCCGGCTTGGTGGGAAGCCTGCTTCTCCCTCTCCCACTCCCACTGCTTGTATTTCCTCTCTTGCCATGGTCTCTCTCTGTCAAATAAATATAATCTTTTAAAAAATTGGTACTTATTTGAAGACAGTTCTATGTTACTACTGATGGGAAAATGGGCTACTAACATTTCCTGCATAAAGTCAACCCTTGAGGGGCCAAAACACTAATATGAGGAGAAAAATATCACCATTGAATCTTGTCAAAAGAATGCTTTTTGACCCTCTGAAATTAACTTTTGTGCAGTGACTTCTTTTTGCTCTAAATTTTATGAAATACTATATTTTAGTATAGTCTGAATGCTTAATCTAAATCCACCCATCCTTTTCTGATATCTTGAAAAGATTCTTTTGGTAACAGGTTGTTTCATAATCTCGATATAGTTCTGTCTTTACTAACTACTTATTTAGATGTATTTAGATGGACGTTTGCTTTCTGCATTCTTTCTTGTCCCAAAAATGTGATGAAAAGGAGTTTTAACAATTAAATTTGGTAAGATTTTTATATGATCACACTCGACTTTTTGGGATATACAGTCCTAAGAGTTTTAATGTATGTATAAACTCATGTAACCACTGCCAAAGTGGGGGTACAGAACAGTTCCATCATTCCAGAAAGTCCCTTATGTTTCCACCTTGTAACAAATCCTCGCCCATCTTGACCCCTGGCAACCACTAATTTGTTCTCTGTCCCTGTAATTTGCCTTTTCCAGAATGTTCAGTAAATGGAATCATGCAGTGTTTAATCTTTGGAGACCAGGCTCTTTCATCCAGCATAACGACTTTGAGATTTAAACAAGTGGCTGCGTTCTATCAGTTGCCTGTCCTTTTTTACTGCTGAGTAGTATTCCTTTGTACGGATGTACCACAGGGAGTTTATCCATTTATCCTTTGTAGGGCATTGAGATTGTTTCCAGTTTGGGGCACTTTTGAGTAAAGATGCCTGAACATTTTTGCACTGGTTTCCGTGTGCACATGAGCTTCCGTTTCTTCAGCTAAATCCCCAGAAAGGAAATTGGTGGATCATATGTTAAGTGTGTATGTGTAACTTTGTAAGAAACTGCCAAAGTGCTTACCACAGTGGCAGTGTTTTGCATCGCCACCAGTGATGTAGAAACTTCAAAGAAATTGAATACTCTTTTAAATGCTCTCGGGTTGAGGTTGGCAACCTGTGTTTCACAGTTCCTTGGGATTTTGAAGAGATGCCCCATGACAAAGGGAGCTTTTAGGTCCTCCATAGAAGCTTCTTTAAAGAGAACCGCTCCAGTTTTGTTTTGTTTTATATCTTGAGTTCCCCGCAAGAATGCATTTGGGGAAAAAAGAGATTTGTCTGTAAGGTGTCAGAAAATCATTGTAAGTAAGGTGGTGCATCCAGAGCTTGGGGTGTGGACCCTGGGTGTTAGCCGGGCAAACGCTAGGTGGCGCTCCAGGACTCCGCAGAGTGCGGGGACCATACTGTGAGAAAGTGGACCCCCCCCCTTTGCAGCTCCTTTTTAGTCCACATCTTTGTGTCAAGGAGGTCTTCATGTCTTTAACTTTCACCAAGACTTGTTGATGGCCTCATTTACAACAACCCAGTAGGCTTCTGTTCCAGAGCCTTCAGCAAGCAACATCTATCTAGAATGAAATCAACATACAGCTTTGTTTTTAATGTTATTTTTGCAGTTATCTTTTCATTTAGGACAGGTACCCCTGGTTTTCCTATTTTCTTTTGAAGTGAATTTATTTTATACTTTAAAATGCGGATCATTTGAAATAAAAATATCAGATTGTATACCTCATACACAAACGGGGCAAGAATTTTGAGACTGTGCTAGAATGACTGAAGTTCGGGAGAGTCTGCACTGTGGGAATTATTTAAACGGACCTAGAAATGGATCCTTTTGTCAAGTGGAGAGAGCTCCTTGGTAAAGCAGGTAACTGTCACTTAGTTGATGAGTTTATAAGTTTACCTAATAGTAAAGTCTCAAAAGACAGTCTCCTCTTGCTCTTAGTTTTTGCAATACTTGTTTTTCAAGTTCCTTCCTTATTTACTGATCTGACAAATATTTATTAAAAATCATTAGGCAAGCACGGGGGTGCAGTAATGAAGTAAACAGGATCCCCGACATTGTAAAACTTGCTTTCTTAAATCCTTTCTCCTTCCCCACTAAGAGGCTGATCAGGGGAAACAAGGGCCTCTGGATAAAATTTAAATGATGCAAAAGGTAAAGAAGAGAGAAATGACTTTTTTAAAAAGTTATTTTAATACAGTCAGAAGGAGAATTGAGTTTATTTTTTTGATGTCCTTGGAGTCAATGTAGATGTGTACTTTGTCTTCTATTTGAAATATTTTGCTTATTATTTTGGCAAAACAATAAGTTCCTACAGACATAGGGATAAACGACAAGACTTCTTGAGGTTCCTTCCAACTTTAAGTACCTGAGGTCAGGTATCTCAGACAAGGAGCAATGCTGTTTTCAGAATACCCGTTGATGCCAGGACCTTTCTGAAATTAGACATCTTTTATGTTAGAGGTCACCAATGAGCAGCTGTCTGAGTTTTGTTCAGTCACTGGTGTTTCTTGTTTGGCCACGTGGTATTTTCAAAGTTTAACAAGATGAGTTTCCAACATGTAAAAGTCAGGAGATCTCACATAAAAAAAAAAAAAATCAAAACAGATTTCTTGTTTATTTTGAAAATGCACGAATCTGGTACCATGGAGACCTCTTTTCTGAATATCAGAGTTGGCTGTTGCTGAACAGTAACTGCCTTTTTGCACAGAGCACGTGCTTTCATCGGGGCATCTTGCCTAAACTCATTCACGTTACCTTTCTGGCTCTGGTGGGTCCTTGCATTTGCAACGCCTGCTTGAGCCACTTAGAGCCCAGGCTTCATGCTGGAGAAGCACTTAGAGAAAAATGAACATTTCTCCCTGTCCTGGAGGCCTAAAAATGTCCTTGCCCTCGAAGCTCAGAGTGTCCAGCTGGGTACATCGCCTGGTCTGGTCGATGTAATTCTGGACCCAGGAGGCAGAGATCAGGGTCCTCTTCTGGACTAGTGCTGGTCACATTATCTTGAATCCTTTAACAAAGGAAATAGTATTTCCTATCTTTCTGTCCCAGTTAGGGTTTTTTGATTGTAAGCAGCAGAAACAGAATTCTGGTGAATTCGAACAAAATGGAACTTGATTCAAAGGCTGTTGGATAACTCAGTGGTATCAAAAGAAGAAGAATGATCTCTGCTCAGAAATTTCAGGAAACCAGGAATACTTCAAGGCCATGGTTGGTAGGAACTAAGGTAATTGATATGTGGCCTCCAATTTTTCCCCCTTTGTTTGTCATTCTTCTTAAGTGTCTCAAGGCTTGGAAAAGCACATCAGGTGGGCCTGGCCCTCATCCTTCATGGGAGAGAGCGGAACACTTTACTTAGTTGGCAGGCTATCCAAGACGGCTTACGATAAAAGACTTCCCGAAGAAAAGGTTTGATGTTGTTACAGGAAAGAGGGACAGGGTCTGGGTAGGAGGCAGCCAGACAACAGATCTTCACTAACCTCTCCTGAAGGCTGTCCTAGAAGGCATTCAGTATACACTGCAAAATGCCACAGGGGAGTAAGGAAGTAGTTTTTTAAGTTACATGAGGACAAAATTGTGAGTGTGCTCTTAAGTGAATGAAGGCATTGGCATCAGTCAGAGAAGGACCGGTACAAAGAAAGTAACAGGTTCATTCCTTTTAGCATTGGCTTTGGGTACAACATCTCCAAAGAAGCCACACCAACTTTAAATGAAAAACATGTCTAAATTCTCAAGATTTCTGTCCCAGTTGTATGAAGATGAATATGTGCGACGAGAAGTTCTATCGTTAAAACTCGAAAGGCATTTGCTCGCTCACATTTCAACTGCCAATAGAATACCCTGTGTTGTTTTCTTAATTGTTTCTTATGTTACACGAATTTGCATGTTTAAAACACATACGTGCAAAAGGAGCATACAGGAGTGAGTCATGGATAAAATTGAAATGACACTTTCAAATTTGAGTTTGGATGTAATGCTTCTTGTTAGAGTGAGCAGCGTGTGCTGTGTAAGGCTTCCATTATTTCTAGAAGCACCGTCTGACGTTTTCCAGTGCTAGGTAGAAGCTGGAGTGTTTTTGTACTCACCCGTGAGCCTAATTTCTCTTAAGGACCATGGCCGTGACTGTTGAGTAAGTGATTCTTTCTCAAATTGGAAGTCTGCTGTGCACAAGAATCCCTGTACATATTCTTTGAAATATGTCGTGGATTTCTAAAGCTGGGAGGACTCCTTGAGACTGAATTTGATTTTTGTGCTCTTATTGTTTCTTTCTTTGCAAGCTCTTGATTTGCAACAAGCCAGGAAAATGAGTGAGCCAAAAAAAAAAAAAAAAAAAAAATTGCTGGCATGGCTGGAAATAGAAATTAATGATTCCAATAGGAGAGGCAGTACAGAAATCCTCAGCTGGGTGGCAGAAAACAGAGCGAGCGAAAGTCAGAGACTGCTCTTTTTTAAAAGGCAAAACAAACAACTCACAGTGAGGTGTACGTGAAAATCATTTCTAATAATAGCTCATGGGAGGCAGTTCCCCGGAAAAAGACCGTCGGTGCACTGAGGAAATTAGAGTGAGAACACACAGCATCTCGATGTGTTACTTAAGGCAACGGAGGTTTAGAGTTTACCTTATGTGTCTTGTACATTGATTAAATACAAAATATATGCTGGCCATTTTTGACCATCATTTACTGTATTGATCTGTTAGCAGGGGAACTGTAATAAAAAAGCGATTGATTTACTGTCCTTATTTGCTTATGGGCTCTTTTTTATTATTATTATTATTAATTTTTCCCGTTCTCTTTTTGGACCATTCCTTCTAGACGAATGCTGTGCTTTGTGAAGTCAGAAGAGAGGGGGTCCCCGTGGAACAAAGGAATGAAATCTTGACTGCCATCCTTGCCTCGCTCACTACACGTCAGAACCTGAGGAGAGAGTGGCACGCCAGGTTAGTTCTCTGATGACATGGGATTTGTCGTCCCCGAAAGAAACGAGAACTGTACTCGGCTGAGCCCTTCCTCACGATGGGTGTCACTCCTCTCGTTGGAGGGGCCGTGAAAAGTCAGGAAGTTACAGATGGTATCAGCCCACGTTAGCTCTTCTGCTCATGGTCCCTCCATTCATTGTAATGAGCCATGATGTCATCGGTAGTGTATATGATTTATCCCCGAGTGTTACGTTTTGCATCAATTTTGCATCCTGAGCATGTAGTATAGAAGTACCTGATGCTAAAGGAGGCTTTTGATCAACACCCTAAGGACTGACGTTGCTGCCTGCTTCGGGCAGATGTCTGGGAAATTCACACCGTGCTCTTATACCGCTCCGTGAGAGGCAGGTTGCTTGAAGGTGGTCGAATGATGAACCCCAGCTTTAGAATTGGCCAAGTAGGTATTATGTTGGCTTCAACCTAGTTTCTTTGCCCATGCACTTACCTGTGGTTAGAGAGCTCTTACTGATAGAAAGTTGCCACAAATCATCGGTTTTTACAGAATTGAGGCTTGGGTACTCTAGATTCTGTTATCCTGCTCTTATTTGAAAAGCAATTGATGGGTGCAAGGCCGGAACCACTTCCCCCCAAACGGTAGGTAAAAATTGTTGAATTATCATCCGTCTCCCAGCAAGAGGGAGAGGAATCAGGAAGATCGTGCTGAATTTTGTCTTGGAGTCTTTTTTGATGCTTAAAAATCCTGTGTGCCTGGGAGTCGAGAACATTAATATTTCTTCAAGTGGGTCCATGCATCAGAATTTGTAATTGGTGGCTTTGCTAGTAACAATTAATCATGAAAATCAGTTTGTCCGAACAAGGCTGAAGGTGAGCATTTCCAAGAAAGGAGACAGGTAAGAGTACAAATGGTGCGTTCCAACTGAGTGCTGGAAAGCGGCTTCTCAAGTATGTGTTTTATCTCTAAATTCAGACTTGCATTGAAAAAATAATTTTAAAATTCACCTCGATACTCGCCCCTTCCCCTCTTTTTTGTAATGTAGTCAAATCAGAGTAAATGACAGTTTCAGCTACAGTAATTAAATAATCTCCAATTTAACTTTTCTTGTATTCTAACTTCAGCATATATATTCATTAAAGTATGCATATTTTATTAAATACAGGAATATCCATGTGGGGACATCTAAGATGTGTTTCTCTCTGTGTTTAACCTTTTATATCATTTCCCCTGGCGATTCTTATTAAATAGGAAAGAGAGAAAGAAAGCAAGAATTTCCCTGTAATCTCTCTTCGAGCCCCCGCCCCCGCCATCCCTCCAAAGACAGCTCAGAGACCAAATGTTGAGGATGGATGTCTTCTGTTGAGTGCATTTGGTTTGTTAACAATAATTCCCTAGTATCCCAAATCATCAGACAACATGCCCAAAATGGCCTGTTTAAAAGGAGTCTGGTTTCAGCATTTCTGGCCCTTAACTGCTAACAATTTAATCAGGAGCTGGAGCCAGTGTTGAAGTTGATGGAGTCTAGCATCTGAAACACAAATTCTCAAGTCCTTTGTGGCAGGGGAGGAGAAAAGAAAGAGCTTTAGCAGCTGACAGTCTGCAGACCTCCTTAGAACTAAACACCTGAAAGCAAATTTCAAGAGGGTCATGTCTTGAGACTCAGAAGGAAAAGTGTCTTCGAGTATTAAATAACCGTCCTCCTCCCCCCCCAACCCCTTCTTCACCCCCATTTGATGTTTCCCATCCCAGTGACCTATCTAAAAGACTCACCCACATGATCTGTATAAACAGACTGTTACCATACACCTCTCGTTGCTCATCAAAGCGTCCTCCGGCCGTCTGGGACCGGGCACTGGCCTGAGTGGCCATCAGGCGGGCAGTGGTGAAAGTATAAAACATCCACCGCCACGCTCACCGAGCCGCCTGTGTTTTCGCGACCGGCCCATTGTGGACTTTGGAATTACACGAGGAAAAATGTGCTTTGACAGAAAATAATTAGCGCTCGCCAGAGGCCGAGCAATAGGTTACAGTATTTTACTTTCATCAAAGCTATCAGGGGATCAGTTAGATTAGATAATAGAAATTTTTTCCTCTGAAAGTTAAATACAGATGACTCCAATTACCTTCGATTGCACGTTGGAGAACGCGTTATGAATAGTACAACTTGAAGTAATGTAGGTCAGCGGAGGCTCCGCGGCTGGCAGTGACTTTCATAGGAGGCCGTTGTCATAAAGGTTTCCCCCCTCCCCCCTGTCCCACACCCCCTTCCCCCCGCTCCGGCCGGTTCCTCTGCAGTAATGACATTAGGGAGAATATTTTAAAGCAGAACTTGTAACTGGGTTTTAAAATATTTGTCTCTCTCTCTCTCTCAGACCAGGAGCCTTGCCATTATTTGGGACTCCCTGAATCCTCTTAAACTGAAAGCATACGTTCCCTGTAATTTAGCTTTTTGAGGAAAGTGTCACTTCTGCGTGACTCGGGGTAACCAAGTTTGTCACAGGGTCACACAACCCCGCCGTCCCAGAGGCACATCTGATGCTGTGGGTTTCCTTCCCCTAGCCCCGTAATCCCATAAACGAGCCTCTCCAAATAGGCTTATTAGGGCTGTCTATTCACTTCCCCCCGAGCTGAATGATCCAAAGTACATCAGGAGAAGCTGTGTGAATGCAGGGTAAGTGTTAACAGAAGTGGTACAGAATTTCTGAAGATTTGGCTTTGTTTATACAGTCCACTCTGCCTGATGGACAGCTTGTTATAGCTTTTAAAGAACTGGGCAAGCCCTCTGCTCTGACCCCTTCTTGACCTCCGCAGCCCAAAGGTCAGTCTGCAGCTAATAAACCCTGAGGTTCTTAGCTTCTACTGTAGGAAAAGGCAGAGAAAGAGCAGCTGCTGGGACTGGGTGTCCCGGGCTCGGCGGCGTGAGGGTCACTCTCTGATAATGAAAATGATTACCAAATTATATGGAGGTTTAACCGCAATAGGGAGAGAGAAGAGGGCGGAGCCCCGCGTATTAGGTCTGATAAATGAACTGTGAAGAAGGCCCATCTGGCTCTCAACGTCTTGTCTCCCCCTCTCTCCCTACCAAGGGGAAACATTTTAAAATAACAGCAGTACATATAGACTCAATGACCCATGCAAGGAGCTGGAATGGATTAAGATTTAATGGTGACAGTGGAAGAAATTATCATTTGAAAAGTACGCTGAAGAAAAGGTACAGCTCCGTGTCCGTGCCCGAGTTGTTTTCCTAAATAAAACACAGCAAAACATCGGCACCTTGGTTTATTTTCCGCAAATCCCTAGCGCCTTTTCCTCGATTGCGGAGAAGTTTGAGGGCACGTCTGTTGTGGAATAATTATCCGTCGTCAGCCGAAGGAAAGGAATGGGCTTCCTTTGCCTTGAACGTGTCCGAATGAGAGTCAGATATTTTCAGCTGGCTCACTCGGTTGAGCCAATGTAGGTAAATCAAGTGTTCGAGAAAATGCCCCACAAAAAAACTGCGATCCACCGCAGCCCCTGGCCACCCGACATCGCGCATGTTTGGATGCTTAATATCCATGTCACTCCCAGACGCTGTTTTGTTGTTACCGCAACTTCTCCATTTCTTGTCTGTACGAGGAAGACAAAAGCACAAAATGTTAATTGAGTAGATGGGTTTGTTCCTTTCTTTATCCCTTTTTCAAAGAACCATCATAGCGATGTTAATTATTGCCGCCAGTGGGCGGGTCATAAGCTGTGTGTTCACTTACTGTTAATTGAGAAGAATAATCTACTTAAAGCTCTCTCCCAGCTCCCCATGAACACCGCGTCCTGGCTTCCGACCAGTGACGTCGGGCTTCACAAAGCTCTCCATACTCTCCCTCCGAGACAGCGGGTCCAGCCTGTGACTCTGTGCTCTGAAACAGGAGTGGGTTGATTTCATTAGCATTTTTGTATGTTTCATATACGTGCCATACACAGAACACCGCGTGAGACGCTGGGCATGAGAAAATGCGTCTGGCAGCCGGTTGAAGAAGGCATCTGGGGATGGGATTCCAGCCAGTTCCCAGAAAGGGGCTGTGGAAGGCAGTGGAAAGGATGGTCGGGGAACCATCGTTAACCACAGCTGAGCGGCAAGTGGCTCCAAGCCACTCGGGGGAAGTAGATCACTGTAGCCATCTCTGCAGACTAGAATTGTTGTACCATAGAAAATCCTCTTACGTTGAACTACACTGTCTGTCTACATATGCAAGTGTCGCCCAGACAGTAGTTATATTTAAAATAGAAACAAAAATCTTCTAAACATTATCCAAAGTCCGCATATGTTTCATCCTAGGTTTTGACTTGACTGCCCGTGGGGAGTTGGAGTGAGCCGAAAGCTAGGTGGAGGCTAACACGGGGAGTCGAGGAACACTTGTAGAACTAACGGGGCTTTTTAACTTGGAAACAGCGCTTTTAAAGTTTAGCTAAGTAAGAAGCAAATACAAAAAAAATAAGATGAAAGCTAGGCCATTAGGGTTTTTTTCCCCCCAATCAAGATATAATTCACACGGGGCACCTGGGTGGCTCAGTGGGTTAAGCCTCTGCCTTCGGCTCAGGTCATGGTCTCAGGGTCCTGGGATCGAGTCCCACATCGGGCTCTCTTCTCTGCAGGGAGCCTGCTTCCTCCTCTCTCTCTCTCTGCCTGCCTCTCTGCCCACTTGTGATCTCTCTCTGTCAAATAAATAAAACCTTTAAAAAAGAAAAAAAAGAAGATATAATTCACAAAATACAAAAATTCGTGTAACATAAATAATTTTAAAGTATTATAATTAAGCGATGATGATGAGGATGATTTTTTAGTATATTCACAAGATTATGCAACCATCACCATTATCCAATTCCAGCACATTTCCATTACCCCAGAATGAAACCCCAGACCTGTTAACAGCCACTCTCGATCTCCCCTTCCCCCCACAGTCCCTTGCAAGCACTAAACTACTTTCTGTCTCTATGGCTTTGCCTGAACATTCCATGTAAATGGAATCCT